ATATTCAATAAATAAATTTTACAATATATTTTCATTATTCAATATATTTTCATAATTGTATATATATTTGTTATGTTTTACAATTCTTGTCAAAAATTTATCTGTGATTTTCTTATGGGCGTTTAACAGCGCCTTTTTTATTCGAGCTAGGTGCTTCACTGGGGACGCGTTTATTGCGCATGCGCGCGAAATCTAGTCTGTAATTCGCAAACACCGAGTGCAGTTCAACAGAATCAGCAGTCAGTTCAGTTTATTGGCGAGCTAGACGAGTTGCGTTACGTCGGGCGTGAGGCGAAGCGGTCGTAGCCTCTTCGTTCACGAGACTCTGATTTCTTTCGCATCGAGGATCGACACCGTCGCCGCCGTCACCATCATCGTCGCCGCGGTACTCGTAGTCGTAGTGGTAATCGACGTCGCGAGAGTCCGCATAGAAAGAGAGAGAGGTAATCATGAAAAGTGTGAGAGTGCGTGAAATCGGTTAGCGTGCAAGAAGCTTACGAGAGACATGGTAAGTATCATCCGTCATTCTCTCATTGTGCATTCGTTTCTGAATCGATGATCTCTCTCTCTCTCTCTCTCTTGTCTTGTGGTGTCATCCCCGGGAATCGAAACGAGAGCAGGTGAAAGAGAGAGAATTAAAGCAGAGAATTAAAGAAAAACAGGGCTTCGAATCGTTGACGCGCGCGAGAGAGGTTATAGAACTGTCGTATCCGCGTCGTCGTCGAACGATTTACGGGTGAGGTTCTCTCGTCCGAGGATTCGTCTGACGTTCCACCGTGATTCGCGTGTGTGAGAGAGTTCGTCCAGTCGCGGAGTCGAGGATCCAGTCCTGGATCACAGCGTTCATCAAAAATCGATCCCCTGATGCCGCTAGCTTGACGCGCGCGAAAGGTTAGGAAGTCGATGCAGGAAGGTCATCGGCGCTCTGCCCCGCGACTGGACACGGTCGCTTTCACCATCTCATTAGGTCTTTTTTTTTTAGCTCAACTTCCTACACAGCTCATCTTTTCTCTTTTTCTTTTCACTTGGAGAGAACAGGTGAGCAAGAAGTTCATTTAATGCCGTTTCTATCAATTTAGATTAACCTTAATCTTCGTTTAATTTAATCTTTATCTTTTTCTGATTCTAAGAAGTATGCCCGGTTCTACAAATGTTGTTTAATTTTAATCTTGATTCAATTAACTTTATCGTTTTCTAGTTCTAAAAATGAGAATAAGCTGAAGAGTAAGTTGAACAAAGGTTGAAGTTAATCTATATTGATAAAAACAGGCGTTAAAAAGGGATAAAAAATTGAACCAAAGTTAATTTACATTGGTAGAGATGTACGTTAAAAGAAATAAATTTCGTGTCTCAAAGGGACATTCGTGTCGTTCCCTCGCACCTGAAACATCACGCGAAATCCTGAAACACCGCTCAATGCGCACTCAGTTTCCTCGCGAAGATTGGTTTGTAATCCCGGAGGACCCGGAGTCGATGATATACTGTTAGGAACAGTTTTAACGCAATCTGGCCGCTTAAGTAGATTCTGACGGGATTCAGGCACGTAAACGGCACCGTGGCGTTGCGGAGCGACTCGCAGAGAGGACAGTGTCCCGCGCGATCTCGTCCGGAGGCGTCTATTCAATCACCGATCTGTCAACTGGCCGACGACCGACCGAGCGATAAGAACGTACATCGTGCGTTCTTATCGTCGTTGCTCTCGCTCCGCAATACTTTCACAATTATCGCGATGCGCGCAGTCGAGCACGAACGCGATATACATGGAGATCACCTCTGCGGGACTGTAGGGTTCAGGGCGTTTTAGGTTATGTTGGGCAGTTGTTTGTAGAAATTTGTAGATAACAAGAAATCTGCCTACTCGAATTGTGCGTGTGAGTGTGCTTAAATGTATGAATGTATAATATTAAATATGTATATAATATTCACAATATAAAAAATATATATTTTATACGTATTATATGAAAGTTTATAAAGTAACATGTACATATATAGTATTCATAGATATTTTTTACAAATTTGAAATTATATATACGCGCGTATATACATATGTGTATATAAAGATTTTGTTTTTGCTCATATTTAATATCAATATTAATATAAATATTGATTTACTGCTTCTTCCATATATATATTCGACATCTGCAAGCACGCGCAATTAATATTTATAAATATATGTATATTAAATATTTATGTAAATGAGAAACAAACCTTGTTTTCTTTGCAGTAATTCATACATTGAGAGAAAAAATAATTACAATAATTACCATAATTTATAGTGATTTTCGATAATAATTGTATACATTTTTGCAAGAACTATAATAATTATTATTAATATTATAGCAGTAATAATTGTAAAAATGGAATTCTCAATAATACAATTATTTTACTATGCAGTTACAATCATAAATACCGAACACTTTTCTCTCAGTGTAATATATGTGAAGAAGGTTTGTGTAAATTAGAACGATCCAGTTTTTGATACACATTTAGATATGGAGAAATTAATCCTATAAAGATTAGTGTCTAGGGAGAGAGGAACTATATACTTCTCGATTGCACTTATCGTGATTGATCTCATCCAAAAGTCGGACGAGTTAAGGGAGAGTAGCGAGATCGTTGAGTGGATATCGATGTCAATGACGCTCAATGAGCGGATAATCCATCAATGAGTATCCCCTTAATTTTTAAAGATACTGAGATAGGATTACTGCTCGTAATCGAAAATTGACAATTATTTTTTAAAGGCGATTTCTAAACAAAGATTTTAATTATTGAAATGAAATAAATTCTTTATTTCGAAAACAATAAAGTATAAGCAATAGTATAAATATTATAAGCTATCTCATTAAAATGGCAAATTATAATAAAAATTGATTTTAAGTATATATTATAAATGTATATCAAATCGATTCAAATTAGTTTAGTTGTCAAGAACAATAATCTCAAAAAGTTTTTAATATTCTGAAATTATCCAATTATTTTGATTTTTTAAATCAATTTCGAATCGAAATTGTTTTTTTAGTCGAATTGATTTTATTTTTCTAAAATTTTCTAGATTTGTGAAGCCTTCTATTTAAATAAAATATTATTTAAAATATGTTAAACAAAAATTTCTTAATTTTTTAAGATACTTAAATTAAAAATACAAAGTTCTGTTAAAGTCGTTTATTCATGCCTTTGAAAATTAATATGTGAAGAATATTTTATTGTTACTCGATTATTTTCAAAGATCAATAATATTTTAACTTGATGAAAAAGAAATTAATTTTATTGAAAATTAATTATTGAAAATTTTCTTTTTTCGAAAAGTGTAAGAAACTTAATCAAAAATATTTAAATTATAATATTTTCTATATATACATATATTATAATTGATTTGGAGAATTTCAATTTTTATAACTATATATATTTTGTTTTACAAATATTCGTTACGTTATTTCATTAAAAAATATATTTTGCTTTTGTATCATAAATTTTGAGCTGCGATGAGAAGTCTATTGAAATATTGCTGAAAAGCATTAAATTTCCCCTACGTCAAATGGCTTTCAAATATTTTTACGCTGTTACTGATCTTTATAATTTTGGCATCGTCCTCCCTTCTTAAAGTAGCTTAAATTCCCGCTTCGTAATTTGTGCGCCGGTTGTTGTAGTTGTGTTTTTATCTCGACCTGCATCAGTCATTGGTATTTCACGTTATTGCATTGCGCTTATCCAGTTCGCATCCCGAAACTCGATTCTGGGAAGGAATGGACTTCGCATTTCCAAGCGCATTAGCATATTCAGAACATCCGTATCTCTAATTAGTCGTTATGCAGTTAGCGTTTCTCTCGCAGGTATTTCGTCGCGCAATAAATTTTGTCACGATTTGCAAATTATTAAATCACTCTGTAATACAAAGAAACGGCGAAGAACGTTGTTTGCTTTTCTGAATAAAACATTTGTGGCCACAAAAACGACGTGTGGCTTTCGTAATCATCTACTAAACGACAGAAATGTGTATTAAATATTACTTTCTCTGCTAGACAATAATTTAATCTTTCTCTTTATCTTATCCGGGTTAACAATAATCTCTACTTGAGGAAATTCCATTAACCAGAATTTACTTGGAAAGAACACAATAATGTGCACATTTAAAAGTCTGTCTATTGACAACACGAAACACAGAACACATTGGTATTTAGGATGTTATCTTGGTGCCTTCCGCAAACTTGATAACGATTTGGGTGATTTTCTGCTTTCATCAAGCGTATGTAGATAATATTTTTTCTGGCTTTATTTAATTCTGTTATCGCGTAATTAATTATGCTATTATTTATCTTTACCGTTATTGCTGTAATCTCGAAGTGTTTAATGGATATTTCATTTTGCATATATTTTATCTAAAACTGCTAAATTTGGAAAATACTGACATGTTATGTATGAATCTTGCCTCTTAAATTGATAGCATACAAATTTGTTATCATATCATGCGTTCAATTGATAATATATTAAAATGTAAACATACACAGTTGGAAAGAATGTGTTGAATTTAACATAAATCGCATGTCCCAAAGGGTCCACTCAAATTTTTGAGTTAATTTTACACAAGATGAATATGTTAGAAAGTAACACAAATATTATGTAAGAGAATAAATACAAAGAAAGATAACATCGACACAATTTGTAAACAAACCGTGAAAGCATATTTTTTGTCAGAAAATTAATATTTATGATGTGTTAAATTAATATTTTAATTTTTATTTTATTCATTTGTCTTATTTATGTTTTAAAACCTATTATTTTTATGTTACTTGTTCACTTACTCATAAATTGTCACTTTGACATTAAAAAACATTGAATATCAATTTTACAAAAAATCTTTAAATAACGTAATCACATTATGTTAAATTAACACTCGAATATGTTAAAAATTCAACATAAACGTGAGTTTCCAACACAAATACACAAATTTTTTTGTATGATAAAGAAAAAAATTATGTCAGACTTTGTTAAGTTTTTGTATTTGCTTGGACAGCAAAAATTATGTAATATATGATATGATTATTATTAAAGAAAATATGCTAAATTTTAATTAATATTTGTTTGAATAGTATACTAATTAAATATTTATTAAATGTAAATATAGTTATTTAATATAAGAACCATTGATTTGATTTAACTTTTTTTTTATCGAGATAAAACCTTTACTTATAGTAAATATTTATTTATTGTAATTAAATATTATATTTAATTAGTACTATTCGAAAAATATATTAAAGTTTAATAAATTTTTTCAGTAGACTTGTACAGCAAAACATTCTTTTATTCGTATATTTTTCCAAAAATGCAAATAGTAAAAATTTTTACGTTTTTAAATATTATTACATTTTCCTGTTTTTATAAATTGAAGGATCGGACAAAAATGTTAGATTATCCCAAAAATCCTTTTTGTTTTTTTTATTTTATTAAAACATAATTTACTACCACAATTTACTGACACAATATAATTAAGTGTATATAAGCTATTTTACTAAATGATATTGTGAGTTTCCAAAGAGATGGAGAAAGATGATAAAGTAGGGGTACTTTCCAGCAAGGACAGTCAGACACAGTGAATCGTTTCATTCTTGTTGTTAACGTAGGCAAATAACAAGGATGTAATAATTCATTGTATTACATTGCGTCTGACTGTGTCCTTGCTGGAAAACACTCTATCACTTTTCTCCATCTCTTTGGAAGCTCATAAAACCATTTTTTCAAAATTCTTTTTGATTTACTGACAAAATACTGAATGTTAGATGATTGTTATATCATTCAAAAAAATGAATTTTTTATCACAAAGAGAATTTTTTAAACAAAGAAATAAATAGTAGTCAGAAAGGGCGAGTTTGTAGAATAAGGAAAATAGAGTAGAACGTCCCAATCAAACATCAACTTGTTTCGAACGAACAAACTGCATGTCTCACGTGTAGGTGGACTTGCCAGTGGCTTGACAAATACTGTCACACATGTTTAAAATTTTAAATAATTCTTGTTCGAGTGGTATCAGTCACTGCCCGATACACTCGACTTTCTCCTATGTATACATTTGTTTGTATGAATGGATTTTCTGATATTAATTTCACATTTTACATTCATTTCAAACGTAATATCGAGTTACTGTTGCAGTAAATTTCAATGTATCTATCGTTTGTGAATAAATAGAATCAGTTAATTTATTAATTAATATCTAAACAATTTCTTATAGTATGTATATAATTATATGTGTGTATACAACCTAGAAAAACAAGTATTATTTTTTATTATATGTATGTTTATTATTATCGATTATTATACTTTTTTTTTTACAATAATGGGCGCGCAGTTTAGAAAAAAAGATGTATCAGAATTATTTTAATTTAAAATGATCTTTTGATTTAATGACAATATAATAATGAAATAAAAATTTTTATTGAATTAAGAACATGACGTATATTTGTTTCATTAAGTGTTATTGAATTAACAAAATTATTTTCAATTAAAATATTGTGGTTGATAATATTTGTTTTTTAGTGTACTAAAAATCTAGCTTCAATTGTACTTTTGACGATTTCTTACTTATTTGATTAAATTTTTTTTGTTATTAATACATTTAGTTGTTATTTATACATGTTATTTATACATGTCAGTTTATTATTTATACATAATAGTACGACGCGATATTTACGTAGCATTTTTTAATTCCAATTTTAATAAAGGAATTTCCATTTATTATTGTATACAATTAATATTTATTAGTATGAAATGCTTAGACTTAGTGTGCACAATTTTCGCAATTATATGGGCCAATAATAGACGTCTCGATGAGGATTTAATTACATTTTAATTTCATTACATTTTTAAGTAATTTTGTCATACGCGTTATGCTCATTCATTCTTTTTCTTCGCGCAACAAGTGAGTCGTTTTCTTTTTCTTACCAAGTAAACCGGTTACTTTTCCCCTATTTGCCCCGCATCGTTATGTTCATACTAATAAAACGTTGAATTTTACTTGCAGTTCCAGACAATGAAAATAGTGAACAAGTGTGCCAGCTGCATTTCTTCCTCTTGAATCTTGTCGCGACGTCGATGAACGTGGGAACGACAAGTTGTGTCGATGAAGCATCCGCGGGATCACGAAACCGTCGTCCGTCACGTCGCACTCGCTCCTAAGACGTTCCTCTTCTGGGGGAGAATTCCCGATGGCAGAAATCGCGCAGCGTAATCCTTTCCTCCAATTGTGGCAACAATCTCAATCGTGCGAACCGAAAAACTGAAGATTTTTAGGCAATTCGTTATCTCTTCCGGTATATTTTCCATAATTAAACGTCGGGAATGACTTTCCCGTGCGCGCGCGAAATGTTACTGAGACCGATGATGCGTAGAACCGCGAAGTGATAGTCGAAGAAACGCGAACGATCGGTTCCAGGAAGTTGCGAAATTGGCCGTATGTATCGATCGGCCGGGATCACCCGCTGATTGTTGAATTGAAGTCAAGGACAATAGTGTACACAGGTGGGCAAACTTGAGATTCCCGCTTGCCTCCAGGACTTGTTTGAGGACTTGCACGTTACACGCAAACAGGATTCAAAGTGCGGTGCCTCAGTGAGATGGCCTTCATGATGAAAAAGAAAAAGTACAAATTCTCTGTAGAGGTCGACCTCGAGGAGCTCACGGCGGTGCCATTCGTCAGTGCCGTGCTTTTCGCCAAGCTGAGGCTTCTGGATGGCGGTTCTTTTGTCGATCATTCCACCAGGTGAGTGTTGCTATTCTGAAATACCGTTAATGGGGATAGCGAGTTAAAATTGATTTCACACTTTAAGTGCGCGCAGGAAAATTAAAGGCGATGTTATTGAAAAGCATATATCTTGGTAGATAAACAAAAATGTTGTGTATGTTTGTATTCACTTTGAATTTAACTAGAGAAATTTTAATCGTATAATATGCGTTAAGTCTTATCTCAGATTTCCCACAGTTCTTTTTACGAGATGAATTAACTCACGGTACATAAAAAAAGTGTATTGATCCTGAATAGATTTGTGTACCGTGACTCATCTCGTAAAAAGAATTGTGGGAAATCTGGGACATTTAATGCATGTCATACGATTAATACTTTTCTGGTTAAATTCGTGAATACAAACATACACAGCGTTTTTGTTTATCTACAAAGGTATATGCTTTTCAATAACTTTCCTGTGCGCACTCAAAGTGTGAAATCAATTTTAACTCGCTGAACTGATCCTATTCAGGACATAAGATTTTATAAACGTGCAAAATATTTCTTTCCGACATGTATCATCAATTTCAAGTGGATCGCGCTCAAATCGACTGAAACTTTACTTACTTCAGAAGCATTTGCGGTGCGCTTGTTATAGAGAAAGAGAGTTCAATTGTATGTAAGAAGCGAATGCATTGTTCTGAGAAATCTTTGTGTTCACGCGCGTTTAATAAGCAAGTAGCAAGAAGCGAAAATAATAATAGAAAGTTAAAGTAGCGAGGCGATGAACAGTCACGAAACGTACTGGGCAATTCATAGAATGTTAATACAAATATATATAAATATAAATTACAAAATATAAATTAATCTCAAACGTGCAGATTATTTTGATGATAATAAACGTCCGGCTGTTTTATCTAACGCATGTTTATTTCAAATCCGAGTTTACCGGATTTACGTAACTTCACTGTGTTGTCATAAGCACAGTATCTAGATAAATTATCTCACAGGAAAATATTCATGCTATATCTCAATGAAGAATGAACATGTTACTTGGAATTACTAATACAATTATTAAAGAACTGATCATTGATCTAATTATGTAATAAAAAATTGTGAAAGGTGTAAATTCAGAATTGTCATTATTTTTCAATTTAGATAAAGTGAGGTAATTGAGATAGGTTAACAGAAATTTTAAAATTGTATAAAAGATTGAGGTTACATTGTATATTTAATCAAACATACAAAACATACTCTATTGCAGTAATAATGTATGTTTTGTATATTTAATTGAATACCTGATGCGATCTACAATTTCCAAATTTTTGTTAATCTATCCAAATTACCCTATTTTTAATTATTTTGTGAAATTTGCTATCATTTTAATTAATTAACACAACAAGTCAACAGTCCAATATTATCTGATTTTAGATTTAATATTTATGGAAATATATATATTCTTTTTAATTTTGATCAAATTTACGAAAGAATCAACACCTTCTCAACATATATTCTTCTAAAATGGAATATGTTTGTGGTAATTCGGATAATACATATATGTTTATCATAAATACGCGCATTTTGTGTAATCCGTTTCACAACAGTATATATACCGTTTCTCTAGAATCTAGCCTTAAGACCGTGCTTAAGTGTCCTAAAACTTGAACAGTTTTCAAGTTGGAGACTACCTAGAGCTGAGCTTCCGGCTTGGTTCAACGAAGTTTTAATAGTTCATCAGAAAAAGCAAACTGCGGGCCGCTAAATATAGGTCTCGACTATGGCAAGCCATTATACACTCGCAAATTCTATACAGGCGTCTTGCGGCGACTTGCCATAAGAGAATCCCAATGTGCGTTTCCGCGTCATCGCCGAGAATACAATTTTCAGTTTTAGTCGTGCTTTTCTCTCGATTTGCTGAGGTTTTGATGAAGCCAAGACAAAATAAAACATAATAAAAATTCCCAAGATTAGAAAAGATTAGAAAGCTAATTGCACGTGCTTTTCTTGCTAGCTTTGAAATAGAATTACTCGAAAATGTACAGATTTCAAAAGAGAATACATAAAAATAAAAAAATTTTAATTTTGTGTGAGACTAATCCACGTTCTGTAGAGATGTTACGTCGAAATTATATATACATTCTTTCAATTTGAAACATTTTACGAACTAAGTCATAAAATAAATAAATTTTTTTAAATGTTTCTCTCGCTTGCTATTTTCAGAATTATAAATTTACGGTATCGTATCTACTTGAAAACGATAAAATAATTTATTCTAATAACGAATGAAATTAATCGATATTAATAAAAAATTTCGAAAAGTTAACGGAATTCATACAATATGTCGGATAACGAGATGAAATAAGTATGTACCGAGAACTGCATTCCCAGGTGCATAGAAACATGACGTATGTTATTATATAGCGTAAAAATGTAAAGTTCACCGTGCCGGGCATAGTTAAAGTCTTTATTTCCGTCGAGTATCTATTTCTGGAAAGTCTTGAATTCTATGTACAGCAATATAAATCTTGATAATCGTCATAATAGTTTTTTATGATAAAACTTCAACGTTGTTTGCCACAATATTACAAGCGGAAAGAAAGTTTCTTTCAAATTAACGCTTGTTGAATATAAATAAATGAATTGAATACTAAACATCATGTGTTGTAACTAATTAATAATGTTCAAATCAATAATGCTCAAAATTTGCAAGATGTTGCACACGAGCAATATATTAATAAATTATTTTGCACTTGTATATCAATATAAAAATATATCGAAAATTGTATAGTACTCCGTGAAATATTGAGCAATAAATTATTTTGTACATCAAATGTACATGTTCATAATTTATATATGATTCATAAAATGAAAAAAAAAATAATATTAAATCGATGTTTAGCGACTGATTAATTTTACTTCACATTCAAAGCTTCTTAACGGATTTCAATAAAATCCCACTCAATTATTATAATCCTTTTATAACATATCACAGATAGAAGAAAATTATTATAATACATGGTACAATTAAATCTGTAAAATAGCATATCATTATTTCAATTATTGAATTGTGGGAGTTAAAGGTATGAAATTAACGGGTTTACAATTAGCATATCTTTACTTTTTCTCGTAGAACTCGCGATGTCGAATACAATAAATTGAAGTCTAAAGAGAGCCCGTCTTGTTGTTTAACAAAACGAGCTATTGTCTTACTAGCGAGAGAACTAACAACATTGCGATGTTTGTATCCCGTGCGTTATGTGCGATGTCATATGCTTTCTTCTTCTTCTTCTTCTTCTCTCTCTCTCTCTCTCTCTCTCTCTCTCTCTCTAAGTAGAAAAATAATGTTTCTATCTGTGTGTGCAAGTGCGTGCGGCATAAATTCGTTTATATAAGCGTTTCTGCTTAACAAGGCATTTCACCGCATAAAATATAATGGTGAAACATAGTGTATTTTTTTCTCAGAAGGGATATCAAAGTATTATTTCTTGTGTTACCTTCTCAAATTTCAAATAATATACTTACTAGAAAGCAAACATAAGTATATAATGAAAACAAAATATATAAAGGAATGGTTCCGCGCCGCATATTTTTCGTGGAAGTATTATATTATTCCTTCACTTTCGAATTTATTTTCTCCGTTTTCGAATTCGTTTCATTTCTTTGCCATGAGATATATTTTTCTTGTTCAAAATAGAATAAGTCGATAAAAACAGTCGCACAAAAATGATCCGACTCTATGACGTGTACTGATCGCATTCGCGTGAAACCGCTTTTTAAAACCGTCGCTTTTATTTCGGATATCGATGTGTTCGTGGAGACATGGAGACGACTATTGCACTTGCAACAGAATACAGTTTCTATGAAAGGCACTCCAGTCGTATTCCATTAGTATTGACTTAAAAAAAGAAGAGTTCCATTGCATGATAATAGCATCGTGCTCATTAATTGTCTAGTCGCTTTCTGTTTCGTCTAAATATATGTTGTTTTTCTTAAATTCCTCCTTTCTAATTTCTTCTTCACATTAATTAAACCGCTAACGAACTGTGATATAGTATTCTAGCCACAAAGTGAAAGAAATGTTAGCACGTTTTATTAATCCAATTAGAATCATTCGTTGTCACATGTAGATATATTTATTGCATTTTAAAAAAGTTAGATATTTATTTAATGGTATACTTAATAAGTCATTTCACTTATTCATTTCGTTTACTGTCTAATAATATTTTAATATCGGAAGATATTAAAAGCGATATTAGAATAAAAGAATAAAATTTTAAATTTTGTAAATATGGGGGAAGGGGTTTTAATTCCGTATTTGTATAAAAGTGCTATGTAAAAAAGACAATTTTTTACATCAGAACAATTCACACATGATATCTATAGAATTTTAAACATACAATGTAATGATATATATATATA